GCCCTGGTTACGCCTCCTCTGGCTCAGTCACACAGCTGACTGTTAGGTGACTGGAGGTGTTCCCTGATGTGGCCCCAACCCTGCCTCCCTCCCCACCCCGCGATGTTAGAAGAAACTCGAGAGAGCAAATTGGCAGCAGCCAAGAAAAAGGTAAAAAGCACCAGGTCGTGGCCCCCCAATCCAGCCAGAGATCCCCTCCAATGACAAGACCACTGCCAGAGTCCATACCACTCCTGAGGCACACTGGGCTGGGGTCCCCAACCCTGGCACCTCTGAGGTCCCCCCACCAAAGTCCTGGCAGTCAGTCCCACTCCTTCAGCAAGAAGCCCAGCCCCTGCCCTCACCCCAGGTTGACTTTGGGTGGGTGACCTCTGGGGCTCCCCACTCCATACTCAGCCCTCACATCCTGCCACCCCAAGCCCAACCTCCCTGGGTTCTTTGGGCCCACCTCTCCAAGGACGTGGGTCCCCCAGCCCCAGGCCCCCCCCTCATTGCCATTCATCCCTGAGTGACTTTGAACTGGTGATTCCTGGGGTTCCCTGCTGCAGACTCTACTCTCCCCTCCTGCTGACCCAAGCCCGATCTCCCTGCGCTCTTTGGGCTGGCATCTCCAAGGACCTGGGTCCCAGGCCTATATCCTGCTCCACCATCATGGGTCAGCATGACTCAGCCACCACACTAATGTGGTTCCCCCCACCCCCAGGAGGAGTGGAATGTAGTGATGTCACAATCCCCCTATGAACTGTCATTACTGCTGCAAGACCAGCCTTTTATCTTACAACCCAGTCCCCTAACCATTCTCACCCAATTTCTGGTTCCTCTGGTCACAGCACAAATTTCCAGTTGGAATGGGGATGAAGAGTATGGGACCTGAGAGGCAGAGGTTTCAGGCTGCCTTACTCCCATCACATAGACATTGACAGTGTGAAAAGCCTACCCTTTGCCTATGAGCTCAAAATGTTGACAGTATCTCTGGGTGGCAATGGGAGAATGGGTTGGGTTTGGTTTTCTCCCAGGTTTCTACTTAACAGAGAGACTTTAACTTTTTTTCTGAGTTCTCCACCTCATATTCTAAATCTCCATGTTTCTGGGACCAGACTGCACTTCAGTCAGTGGTCTCTGAAGTGACATTTGCTCATCTTCTGTGGAATAGATCTTGGAAAACTGAACTTGACAGCTTGAGTCTTCCTCATATCATCTCAATTTTGGTACTTTGAGTGCCACAGGATAAATGTGGGAGATCTTCCTGGAGCATCAGTTTCCCTTGATTCTCTTGAGAGAGGAAGAATCCTTAATGTACTTAGGGATGACAGTCACATAGGTTCCTAAGAG